ACCTTACATCGTTGCAGCTCGCTCGGACTGATAATGGGAAGACAAAGAAAAGGCTATATAAGGAAGCGATCAAGCACAGAGTCGTGTACATCCATCCTAGGGATCAATATGTTGAAAATCCTTCGGGACTGCTAGGTGACGGCTCCCGTACGCAAGAACCACTGGAACGTTGTCTGGACGAGTATCGAATGCGAGATGACATCTTCAGCACAGGTGTCTGTTTATTCGAGGTCATATGCTTCCGGTCCCTACTTGCTTGGAAGGAGAAGGGGAAGACAGAAGCTCAATTGCGCGGCGACTATGTGTACGACGATAGTTTTGTGCCACTATCAGATGGTCGAGATGAATGGAAGGAACTCACACCGGGCGAGCGAGCAAGGAGAAAAGCAGCAGTTCTCATCGAGAATGTTAAGGAGAAAGTCCCGAAAGTTCTTGGACAGCGGATAGGGAAGCAAGTGGCTGAGATCATTGTCAGTTTTCTACGTGCCGGATACGATAATGAAGCATTTGGTGTGTCCCTGAAGGACAAGAGCGATACTGAGGTTAGTCTTTTCTTCCTGAGTGAGGCGTTAAAATGCCTCCGAGAAATCCATAGGAAAATGATCGACTCCGAGAGGAAGAAGAGAAACTCGCAATGGCAGTTTGGTGCCCTAAACTTCTGTCGATAGGTGATATTTCAGTGTAACACAAGATGCATTTGCTTAAAATTAACTGTAATTACTTCTTCGCGTGTTTACCAATGACGCATGGATTTGCAACTGAGTGACGAAATGTGTTCACAATACCTGAGAATGTATTTTTGTTTTGTTCTCTACCGATGCTGTGATTTATTCGAGTCTGCAAACACGCCTCGATTTCCTTACGAACTTATTATCCACGTATATTCTTGAACACATCAAGAACTCGATTCATTAAATTGAATAGTCAGCCAGCAAACGGCCTAATGTTAAACCATACATTCAATACAAGTATCTACAGAGGATGCTGTGCTTTACCACACATTGTTTTAGGACTGTTTGTTGCACATGTCCGATTGGTCGGGGATGACCTGAACCTAGTCAATGCAAAGTAATTATTTATTCACTCTATCCCCTATAATGCGACTTTGAATAGTTGATGATTCTATGAGCCGCGCGCTTTCAGATATCAATGAGTGCATGTAGATAATACTTCCGCAGACATAAAAATTATATTCAAAGTTCTTTGAATTTGCTCTCGTGTTTTATCCGACTATCTTCCAATCAATTGCTTGTTCAAAAGCATCGCCAACTCTTAGAACCGTGGCCTCGTCAAAATGGCGCCCAACAATCTGGGACAAGTATCTTAGTTTCAAACATAGAGATTCTTGATTTCAGAAGTTTCCATACCTGCAGGCCAACAGGTAACTTTATATTTCTGTCTTCAACTATCAGTATATCTTCTTCCGCCGCGCGCGTCCAACCTATTGGGATGCTCATTGCCGGATGGCCTGTGCCATTAAACTGAGCTGTATTCGCAATGATGTCGGCTGTGAGAAAAGTTAGCAGGAGTTGACAAGGGACGCGATAAGATCAAAGTCAACTCGTATGAATGATCAGGACTAGTTCGAAAATGAACGCACCTGTTCGCTCTGCACAATTCCAAGGAGCTGCATTAGGTTTTGGATGACGACGTGCGCCAAAAGCGATTGTTGGCATTATGAGCACATCGAAGTTTGCAAGTGCGGTGTCGTATTGTCGCTTCGCTTTCCGGAGGAGGTTTACAGAGCGGCCGTAAACGGTTGGGTAATTCTCCCAAGCATACTCGGAATTCAGGCCGGAGCTAATGACAAAGGATGACACGTTATCCCATTTCCCCTGCGTCCATCTATGAGTAAAAGCTCAGAAATTTTATTTCGCGAAGAACGCTGGAAATGGTACTTACGGTAATAATTCCTCAAAGAACTCATTGATGTAGAGTCCACGATGTCCGCATTGACGGCCTTTACGGGTCTGTGACGAACCCACTCTATTGATGATGATCGATGCTGAACGGGCCACTGTATGTATTGGTATGGCGACTTCTTCCACTAGCGCACCAAGTGAGTTGAATGTTTCAACTGCACGCTCAACGGCAATGCGTACTTCAGCTTGAAGTTCTGAAACTTCGAAGCCTTCCTTCAGCACGCCAATCTTCAAGCCTGCAATTCCTTCCTTACGTGCAACTCGTAAATCATCCGTATACTTTGGTACGATTGTTCGTGGGGGTACGCCAAGCTGGCGATCGTCAATTCCGTCGTATCCTGCAACAGCCTCAAGAAGCATTGCGACGTCCTCAACTGTACGAGCCATGGGTCCAGTGTGGTCGAGACTTGGCTCCGACGAGAGAATACCGGTGTACGGGATCAGCCCAAAAGTAGGCTTGAGACCGACAATACCACAGCATGCGGCTGGCTATTAATAACACATAAGAGATGACATTCGCTTCACTCTGAATAATGAAGTACACACAAGCCTGATACTCCCTCCCTGATCACCACCCATACCCATATCGACTTCACCAGAGCTAATAAGTGCAGCACAACCAGAGCTGCTACCAGCTGTACTGAACCCATATGCATACGGATTGTGCACTGGACCCGTGGAAGACGTGAAGGAACCTGCTCCGTGTGACATATTCTCGCAAGTCGCCTTGCCTACGATCGTACCGCCAGCTTCAAGGATTCGAGTCACAATGGTTGCGTCGATTGTAGCTGAAGAAAACAGTGAGCGTCATTAACTACACTGAGGATTAGGCAAGAACGTACGGACGAAGTCTTTGATAGCATTCGTCCCGAATAGACATGGAACTCCAGCAAGACATATATTATCCTTAAGACAAATTGTTTTGCCAGTCAGAGGACCACCCTCGCAGCCTTTTACAGTCGCCTTCCAGGCCCACCCGTTCAGAGGATTCTCTGCGTCTGGAACAGGCTTGACATCAAGGCGAGGAAACTTGTCAAAGTCCACAGACGGCTTGTAATCTACATCCAAACAAACATGAGAAGAGCAAGAACCATATGGAAATACCTGCTTGCCTTCATATTTCATGATATCTTCCGCTGCGTCGCGTATCTGACCAATAATCCTTTGGTAATCGGCCTTGTGGGTTTCTGGTATGTCATAATGCAGTCGGGCGGCGGCTGAGAGTAACTCAGGCAGGTCAATCGGGGCCATTTCGCGATAACGCGACTACCATCTGAGCCTATAAGCTGCATGGGTAAGATTCAATATTTGGAAGAAATTGAGTTTGGCGAAGCCGGCCCCTACGGAGCGGAAACGGTGTCTTCCACAGTATACATATTGCATTGTCTCAATGCTTGGAAAGAAATGAGCATATTAGTACAAGATGCCGAGCTTGTCCGATTAATGCTGATGAAATCGTTAAGATGAAGAGGACACGGCAGATAGTTAACTAGGAATGAGGTATATAATGCAGCGATGCTTCGCTGCAACATGGACGCAGTAACGTCGCAGATTGGAGGTTTGGACATCAGTGTATCTTACATAATCCACCAGCTTAGTAATAGGCACTCTTTCTCTCTCGCCTCGTCAATGGCACAACACATAGTACTTAATTTTTCTTCTATTTAAATTGTTCGAGCCAGTAATAACATGGTTGATTCACGTTGTGAATAGTCACCTCCTCTCCACGTTCCACTCGAATTGCTTGCCCGGATATGACTTCTCCAGCACCCGATGTTATAGGAACGGCGATGTGTTTGCCCAGTAGACTTATCGCATGCTTGTGTTGACCTCTCACTTAGATGAGGTTGTATCTGTGCTTAGGTATCAGTGAGATGGATGACTGGGTTTGAACAGCTGGTAAGAAGCCTGGAATATCAAGCACTTCTTGAAACGGTCGGATGATGCGAGGACGGCGGGCGTCCTTACCCTCACACCGGAGGTATGTCATTCGTTCCTGAAAGATCATCGGTAGTCCATCCGTACTCGTCAATTTTCTGTTCGGGGTATGGGGACCAATTCAGAACTCATTTCGACGCGAAGTATTCATTCATCCTTCTCAGGTATTCCGACCTTGCTAATTACAGGTTTTGATCCGGTCAGGTTGGCTAGCTTTCGTCACGTACAACGGCAGAAACATGTTAATAGAGTACGATCTTACACCGACACTCTTTTGTCCGTGTCAGAGAAGATTTCTTTGTCCAAATCTTAAATATTGTAGGTTCTGCGAGTAGTTTGGTTCTCCCTTTTCCCGACTAACACGTCTTATTGCCAGTGTTGTGTTACATTATTACCTCTGCTGCTACGACTGATCTCGAAGTGCTTATTGGTGTTCCTTGTCTACTAGTATTGCTCTCCACATATGTAACTGATAACATCGTTCTAGAAAAGCTTCACTTTCGTATCATCAAGACGATCAAATGTGTACATGACCAGTAGGATTGGAATGGACTTCACTTTTCAATGTCCAGAGTGAGCCTAGAGCATCAAACGAATACTATCCGCCTAGTTAAGACAACCTGAAGGAGTATGATGATGTATGTGGTCTTGTTATCTTTGATGTTGCCCTGATCGTCCTCCTGGAAAGAGCATAACTCACACATCACTTAAATTTTGGCAAGTTCCTTGCACTCTGCCCTATGATCATCCTTCTGCTTGTGTCCCCCGAATACATGTCAAAGCATGCAGTACTAGTCTGAAATAATGTCAGGATTTTCCAGATGGCCCTCACGCGTTTTGATTAGGAAACCCTTTTTTCGCTGGTTTCATCCGTCATTTTTACGGCAAATTCCCAGCAGACCAGGGAAACGTCATCACAAGGTAAGGGCTTCTCCACGCCCAAGTCAACAAGAAATGGATAAGTTGGGGTCGGGTAAGTGGAGCACGATGTCCCTCTACTAGTATGTCTCAGGCCTAACATACTAAAATACCTCTCGTTCTTTTCATTCAACTTGGCTACAGCACCTAAGAGTTGACCCCTTTTTCCCAGTTTTCAGTAGTTCCCACTCGATATTCTACACACGCACCTTGAGGAGGAAAGCGTTGGATTATCTCCGTTCGGCTAGCTTCTCGGTCCTCGTGGATTAAGCTGTGATCGTCATTGGAATATCATCTGCCAGTAGGGACGGCCACGGGACGCCTTTTAGGTGTTATCATATCAGTCTAACCACTGATGGAGAGATTCACAAAAGAGATTGATATCCAGGAATAGACGTTGATCATCAACATCAAGCAGACAGATGATGGATATGCTCTGCTAGATGTTTTGCGCTGGTCCACCTGGAGAAAGTAGGTGATGGGATGGCGAACGACGAGATCCCTGGTCACAAAAGTTCCGGCAGCTGATTGGACATTGGATACCTCGTGATACGTGGGATTTTCGGAATAGAAAATGCTCGGACGGAAAAGGTTTAACGGAGCAAAACGTGACAGAAGTACCCCAAGTTACTTAACCGAGAAATAAACGTGAACCTCTCTGCTCTTAGCATCCCAATTGTGGATACGCATGGCCTATGCCAAATTGTGGATTTTCACGGTCCAGAGTGTGTTGAAATTTGACAGTGGCAAAGCAGAGGGTCAACAGAATACTGTCGAATCGGGGAGGAATCTCAGGGGTGAGCTCGCCAAAGTCACTTGATCGTCAGCCGGGAAAAGCGTCGATCTATGCAATTTGTAAAATTTGACCCTGGCTCTTCCAGTCAGCTTGGCACAGGCAATCCAACTCTTGAACACTACTAACCACAACCTGCCTGGATATAGGACATAGGTGCAACCTGTTGTGCCTGCAGCGGTTAGGCCCCGCGGGTCATCCGGGTTGCTATACGTTGATACCACGCTTAAGACCCCAGAACCGCGCCCGCATCCCTACCCCCGCTTTCTCGTCCAATTCAATATCTAATCGGCGAGCGCTGGTATCCCCTTCCAACCAATTCTTACAGAAAGGGCGGCGCGGATCCGGTTCATATGTACCGATCACACACCAAAGTTTGATCTTTCCGTGATACTCGCGCTTCTCAATCAGAACGCCCACTTTGTTACTGCATTAGCGTCATTTGTACGTGTCCTCCTATATAAGCTGTGCTAACTCCGTTGCTCACGTCTCTCAGAGGACTGCCGTGCTGCGTTCATTTTTACCCTCTTTTTATTTGTGCCCACACGCAACATGTCGTCGAGTGAACTAGCTCTAGCTACTAAGCTGGTCAAGTCAGCAAAGATACCTCTGTACACGTCGCGTACGCGTTTAAAGTGGTGACTTCTGCCATTTATCCGCTAACAGTTTTTTGCTTTCAGCTACTGCGCTGACGTGGGTCTTGCTTGATTACTGTGAGTCAACATTTACTTGTACCATCTACAAGTGCTGTGCCCCTGACCAAGACTTGTCGTTTCTTCTCAATCTCAGTCGACACTCTCCCAGATGAGGTGAGTAACATGCAGCTCGTAGCCCGTTGACGACGCTGACGTGCGATCTGTCGCTTCTAGGTCCGGTACATGTGGGTCAGTCAACCGCGGAGCTTCGCATTGACTTCTCCGCCTGACATTGCACTTCTTTTAAAAGCCCGGAGCTCAGGGCCTCGGGAAAATGTTATTCTACTGGGTGTGTTTGATGGACACATGTCCGTACACGTACTGATACCTTTCAATAGATTCGATACTACACGATTCTAGTGACAGTCTTTGACGTCGCCCAAATCCACTCCTTTTCAAAGTTTAGACCAAGTCTAACGACGTGAGTTAACTTTGTTTCCGTTCACATCACGCTCATTATTGATGAAATTTGAAATATCTGATAATAAGTTGTGTCGCCATGGATTCGGTCATTCGTATTGTCGGCGCGATCAGCCTTTGGTCCGTCGAGATTATTATGCAGCTCCGAATTTATGCGCTCTACAACTGCTCAAAGAGGGTACGTGAATATATACTTAGGGATAGCGCTTAATCGCTAATTGGTTTGACAGGTGGCTGCCTTTAACATTTTCCTTTTCCTGATGTCTATCGGAGGTTTCTTCTGGATCCTCGTCCACAATGCTCAGGGCCGTGCCGCTGTTATCCATCAGGCAAAGGCTCTTCCCATTCCTGGCTGCCCGGTAGTGCATACGGGGATCGAATGGGCTCAGTGGATTCCTGGTGAGTCAGGAGCACGCTCAACCGTCCAGGACATTAATTAACGTCTATGAAAAAAAATAGCTACGGTATTCGAAGGGGTTCTGTTCGTCTTTGCTCTCCTCAAATCGCTCCACACAATTTTCGCGAAGTTCCGGGGAGGTGTAAACATGATGCACACGAACGGCATGCTTTTTACAATCATTGTAAATGACAACTTGCTGTATTTCTTCGGGTAAGAAATCCACGATTCTGTATCGGTTTCGTCGATTGAATGTAATTCGTATCAAGCATTTCCGGTTTGCTGGTCCTCAATAACCTGATGGTCGTCGTATGTTGCCTTACAGTGTTCCCTGTTAATCAAACAATGACGACTTGTATTATCTAGGGCGCTACCAAAATCCCCTGGTTCAGTTACAGGTGAAGTCGCTCGTTAATTCTCGTCGAAAGGGGTTATGTTAATATTACCTGCATTAGCCCTTTCCACGCCGCAATGGGAATAATGACAAGCCGTCTGCTAATGCATCTCCACAAGGCAGTGGTGCATGGAAGAGTCGTCATGTCAGGAGTGAACCCCAGCCGCACAAACAATGCCACTACCATGAATACGTACCCCATGCAGATGATGTCCACAAATGGAACCATGAGTTGGAACGTCGATAGGAATGCGTCTCTTGGATCCTCCACGCTGATTGCGAGCGAGGATAGGTATCTGGGTCGATATACAGACGCTTAAGGCTTCACTAACCGGACATCGATATTGTCTGTCTGTCTTTTCTTGAGGATTTCGGATTCATGTTTATATTTTTATTTATCTGCGTTCGTCCGTTTTTATTCATATGATAGGGCAAAGGGGCTCAGGGTCTTGTAATAGTAAATGTATTCCCATGAGAATGTTTATTTCACACCAATTCACCGTTGCAATTTGTATATAACATTTCCACATCACTTACGATCGATTGCGCAAGAATTCAGGATACCGTATGCTCGACGCTTTTCGATTGTGCCCAGGAGTTGTTTCGTGTGAAGCATGGATTTTCGATCATAAGGTACTAGCCTAACCGTGCACTCTGTGAACGAGTGGTGGGACTCGTTAAGCCGAAGACAGCAAGTCTGCAAGGTATTAAGAGTGAACTAGGACAGCTGCCGGCAATAGGCGGAAATCCTCAAATATCGTCGTATTAACTCAATCACAGAACACCGATATGACACATGCACTGGAATAATAATTAAACAGTCCAAAAGCATGCAGGCCAGCAAACCTTCAGACACAGTTGCCTACACAAACTCAAGTCAATCGTGTACTCGTGCAAAGTACTAGAAACTTACTCGGGACAACAGTCTTATTGGAGACAAATGGGAAGAGTGGATTAGAGGTGTCACAGAGTACGCCTCGTACGAATGTCTGCGCAACAATGTCTGCGCCTGCATATAACCAGTCAATATCTGACTACACCGTACAAGAAAGGATTGTCTTACCAGTCGGAGACGTGTGTGTATGGTCTAAACGGTTAATTAGTTTGTAATCTATAGCTTATTATAAGACAGCTATACTAACCGACGGGGTACAAGGCATTTACAGCCGCCTCTCTCATAGCTCTGTATTGTTCGATGACGAGGTCGAAATGGTCAACGTAAGACGCGCCGGTATCCTGTATCATATTGACCGTTCAATCCTCTTCTCAGACACTTCCAGTTATGAAAACGTTGACGCACTTTTGCAGCGGTCTGCGCATAACCAACAAAACGCGATGGTGCAAAGCCGACATCATACGGGTTGTCCGGCGTCTGGGAGGAAACAATGACTTTCGCCGACTTGCCTTGCAGAGAGTTGACTGCGTCCTCGATGTATCTTGAAAATACGTTAGGTTCATGACTTTCCAATATGGTAGAGTTGGCGTTCTCACTTATTGAACGTAAACACTATTGTCCCGTTGCTGTAAATGGAATATTACCTTGTGCCTTTCATGACACGAAGTTGTGGAACTCACACATTGCAGGTAGTAGTTGTATCTGCCCCGGGACACACCCCTCTAGTTGAAGCCGATGGACCTCCACCGTCATTATGACCAAACTCGATGACGACAATATCTCCAGGCTTAACAGTGTCGATAATCGTGCTGACTGGCAAATGAAATAAGTTAGATACATATTAAATCGTGAATGAAATAAGCGCCATCATACATCGTCCTTCGTCTGTATAGCTTCTGGAGCTTCTACCAGCAACTGCATCGTTGACCACCGAAATGTTAAGATAGTTCCCAATGAACACTCCCCATCCGATGACCGCATCGTTCCCGTCATTTGCAGCCATGGTAGAATCGCCTGCCAAATAGAGTGTCGCAGCTCTGGCGCATGTTACTGCCAAGGTAAGACCGGCAGCCAATTTCGACAGCATGGTTAGATTCAGTTAGGTTCAGCTGGGATACAACAACTGGAAGATGAGCGTTAGGACTCGAGACAATGCCGTATTATATGGTTGCGGTGTCTCCGTATACGTGGCAGTACCATATCCGTGTAGACCTTTAGACTTGAAAATGCGGGCCATATATTTCGGAATTCATGCCTTACTACATAGGGATCGCATGAAGAAATACCGCACCGTATTATACGGACTATACACTAGTGATACGCACGGTCAGGTCGTGACCTGTTTTGACCCTGACCTGACCCCGACCTGACCCATTTTGACCTGACCCAGTATGCTAGGTCAGGCCAGGTCAAATTTGGGTCAGGTCATGGGTCAGCCTTCTCCCAAATTTTCCTGACCCACTTTGACCCGACCTGACCTTGACCTGACCTGTAACCTATATGTAAATAATGTTATTAAAATACACTTACTTATAATAGACAAATATAATATATTAAGGTACATTTGATATAATATCAGAGGATTGTAACTGAAAATCAAGCTAATAGCAGAAATATACTTTCCTTACAATTAGAGATCTACATTTTAAGGAACTTCTATTAGACTTCAAGTATATATTCTGTCTGAATGACATGAACACATTTAAGTATAAGTTGATGGCAGATGCCAGAATGGAGGTCTGGGACGAAATCATGGATTGGCTTTTATCAGAAGCAGAACAAAGTATCCTATTTGTACAGTGTAGTAGGGTCCAGAAAGAGTACAGTCATAACAACCATTGTAGAGTACTGTTGTGAGATACTATACCTTAGTACATACTAGTTTTCAATTGAGTAGATGATGCTGACTCTGCTGAGGATCAGCTCACCTCTATCTTCCAGAAGATAGTATTCCAGCTGGCCTTGTTCGATTCGTCTATTGCAAAGTACATTAAGGCTGCTATTCAGAGAAGTGATTGTATTGTAGAGGCTGTTACTGAGGTGCAGTTCAAGAGGCTCATCAATACAGCATTATCATCAAATGCGAATAAGTCTGTACACGAACTCGCGTTAGATTCAGACTCAGATAATAGTCGACAAGATGTTCTGTAATACATTGATCACAAGATGAAAGTCAGCCTCGAGGACTTAGGACTCGAGATGCTGAATGAATGGGGCACGTATAGGAAACACCTTATGATGCATCTCAGGGACTCTTCATTTAGGTTTCAACAGTAATCAAGCTAGTCAAGGACAATCCCGGCCTATCTAATACATATGACTTCTGGAGTTGGATCAGAATGCTTTCCTTTACATATCATACACTTCTCTCAAATATATAGTCTCATTCTTTTGAGCAATGCACTACTATCAGACACTATGATTTAACATAATCCTAGGGTTATCAAGCCATAACTCATCATGCCTAATTCTTTCAAGCTGCAGAGTGTAGCTGGATATTACCAAACAATCCTTGCACAGTATAGGAGTGTATCCTCATGGCACTGGCATTTTGCTTGAGGCACTAAAAGAGCAGATTGCTGTAGTCTGTTTGAGATTGTTCTATCTGCAAACCAAACATCATCCTTGCTGTGTGTGCAGCTGATGTAGATCTTGCAAACTCATAGCTCTCCATACTAGTTCAAAGTCTAACTATTTGAGGATACAAGCAATTGGAGTTGTTATGAAGATAGCCTTAGTATCTCTAGAACAGGGTGTAGACTGCTACATTCTGTTCCCCCTTATTTCTTGTAACCCTTACACAATTTCCTGTAATGTAAAGTACAAGAGAAAACTACATTCTCTAGCAATATGTGTACAGATAATAGATTGGTTTGTGTTGGACTATTATTTCTTTTTTCCTAGCCTTTTGCTCAATGTCCAAACTACCTACCACTACTACTACAAGTCAATATCTTACTATGGCTCACTCTGAAAACACTCTTGGTTGTACTCTTGATAAGAATAACCAGCTGAAGGATGCTAGTAAAATAGTATTCTTTAATAACCCAGATGACAAGATTCCAATTTCTGGGCCAGGTTCACATAATCAAGAGTCTGGTTTGCTAGCTCCTACCCAACAACCTGTATGCAATGTCAATCAAGCCAAGCTACATCATGCTATTTGCTTCCAGTATGATGAAGACAGTGATTTTGGTGAAGGGAACGATTCAAATGAAGAAACTAATCATCCACCTGTTCTGGGCTGTAAACAACCTGCAAAACCATGTACTACCTGTCCTGTAAAGAAGCATAAGGTGCTTGTCAAGTCATCTGGTAGCTCTACACTCACAGAGTGGAAGGGGAAGGGGAAGGCTGATGTAGGAGAGAGTGTTGCTGGGCAGTTTTTGAAGGATGTGAGCAGAAGCAAAGGTATGTTAATCTAGTCTAAGTAGAGAGAAAGCAGAGTCAACTGTCTGGCCAAAGACAGTAAGAATGGTTACTCACTACCCAGTCTGCTTGAGAGCTTCCATTATCTTTGTTTGGAAGACATGGTCAACAGATTCAACTGACATAGTTGTCCTTGACTGTTATATTACAAACACATCTATTACTTGTACTGTGTATTCAATCAACAATCATGACTAATTTTACATGTTATAGATATGCCTCAAGATATTCAGGAGATCAAGGACAGTTCCTCTGAGGCAGAACCATCTATTTTAGCTGGAAGGCAGGGTATAGAGGACATTGCCCCTCTTTATGAGTTCTTCTCTACAAATGATAGTAAAAAGCAAGTAAGATGTCTTGTTTGCAGGTGAGATACTCTAAATTATTGTACTTAATGAACATACTAAATACAAGAATACATAAGTGAGCTCAAGAACGAAGCCCTAGCAAGATATCCAAAGTTGGAACCTCTTTTTAAGGGAAAGTCAAATACCACCACTTTGTGTCATCATATTGCTCAAAGAAAAGAAGACAACTACTGGCACTTCAGAAAATATGAAGAAACCTGCAAGGATAATAGTCTTCTTGATTCTCAAGTGTACCTCAATAACTTGAAGTATACTTGTCCTGAAGATCTTCAGAAATCTAAGGAGATTGAAGATTCAGGCAAAAAGTATGTATTCTAAAGTATATATTGTTCTTTTTAATCTAAGTACTATATTCTAGACAGTCCAAATTGACAGGTTTTATGGTACCTAGTACTGATACTATCTGGACTAAGGATGGACTTTCTGAGAGGATTGAAAATTTTATTGTTAATACAAATGTTGTAAGTATTATACTAATTTGTATTCCTTTATTCT